GTTTCAAAAAATTTTGCTACTAGTTCTGTGGGTGTGGCTTGGTGAACGTGGCATGGCTTGGTGGGCATGGCATGGCTTGGTAGGTGTGGTAGGGGAAGGATACTGTAAAATTTCCATTCTCACCTCACTCCAGGGGAAGGTTACTGCAAAATCCCCATTTCCTCCTGATCAGCTGGGATTCAGGAGGCAGAGAATAAATGGGGGCAGGGCCAGTCAAAGGTGATTATTTACCGGTTCTCCGAAGTACTCAAAATTTCCACTACCAGTTCTCCAGAACTGGTCAGAACCTGATGAAACCCACCTCTGATTGGGTGAGTTGATAAAAAGGAGGGAGTGAAATGTTGCAAGTATAGGTGGGTGTGCAGTGGAAAGATTATGACAAAGCAGACTGATGGGAAGGTTGTTAGCAGATTGGTAGATGGTATACTTTGCCATGAATGGTAATTTATTTTCATCATGTAGTTGCAATTGTCTGTTTAACAGAGAAGCTACAGTACATTATAGAAAGACATTCTTGATTTTTCTAGCCTTCTTATGAATATTTGGGAGTGATTAGGATTTTTTCTAGTGAAGTCAGTTTTGAAACAGACAATGATGTATACCTAGCAGCAATACTAAATTGCAAAGCAGCGCCTGTAAACTGTTGAATTTATTGGTGTCATAATAAAAATATTTTAATATACTTTTTCATTAATATAATATGGCTGCATTAAAATATGGCTGCAGCCTAAACACGAGCATTCAATACCAATTATATGAAGTATAGTTTCACTACCATGGAAACAAAATATGACTGACAATTTTCAATGTATAGTATAAGACTCATTCTTAGTATTAATGCATGAGATCTAGTTTTTCGAGTGACATTCTAATCACAATACTTTGAAAGACAAACCAAAGGAATTTTTGCTGTTCAACTGGCTAAAAGTGGAAATATCTGGATTTGCATTTTATTAAAAAAAAAAATCAAGTACTGACCGAAGTGGGACAAGTGGGCATCTTAGGAAGTATCATTTCTAATTGTTAAGCAAGAAAATGATAATACAAGAGAATCTCTTTTGATACCTTGCTTGCTGAAAATAACTAATGCTGAGCATGAAGCTAAAAATGAAAAATGTATTAGGTTTTTTACTTTTCAGTACTTCTGTAAAATCTTGTATTTAGCACCTGGTCAGATATATTATGCTTCTTTTTTCACAGTTCAAAAATATGTACCACAATTTTGTCTGTTGCCTGCCTACATTTTATTCACCGACAATGGAGGTGTGAAAGAACTAATTTTTCAAACGAATTGAGAACCATCTCAAAAGCTTCTGATATTATGAACATGGTTTTTTCCCCTTTCTTCTTGTTTTATTAAATGATTTTTTATTGGAAAACCGATTGGTTTATTACTTTAATTTGTAAAGCTATCTGTCTCAAATATATGACTTATATATGCACAGACAATGCCCTAGTGATACTTGGCTCTTACTTGAATTTGTTACTTGGTGAAATAAAAACTGTAATCATAAATCAGTGCATCATGCAGAGAAGCACTGGTTGCTAACATTCTTCTAGATAATGTGTATGATACATTTAATTTTTATCTCTTCACAAAACTTACAAATTTGATGGTAAAATATATTCTTGGATATTGCTGAGTAAAGACTTCTGTTTTCACATAAAAGTATTACTTTTAAAAGTCTTTTGCAAGTATTGAAGCTAAAAGATGGATATTATTTTTCAAAGAATAAAAGAAAGGATAACATGTTTCACATTCATTGGAATATTTGGGATACATTTTATAATTTGTGAAAAACTTCAGTTTAAAGCTGGAAGAAACAAAAATACTACAAATGTAATGTGCCACAAAAAATCCAATCCTGTAAATGTTGAATACCAGCTGAGATTCCTAATTTTATTAAACTTCTAAAAATGACATTAAAATGTTTTCATTACTTAATTTATTAATTAAGTTATGTTACCATGAACATTTTAAAGGGGACGTGGAGATTAAATCTGTGGTACACTAGGACTTATTGGTAGAGGAATTGAATTGTTATTTTCCAGATGGTTCTTATAAGTCTATCCATAAATACAGGTACTGTAGTCCTCAATTTATGACCACAATTGGAACTAGAATTTCCATTACTAAGGGATGCGATTATAAAGTGCAATGTCAGTTGACTGCATTGCTTAGTGAATTCAATGCCCGCACTCCACATTGCCAACCAAATCTCACCAGTCAACAGCTGAGGATCCACCTCAATCCAAACCATTCCCAACTTGGTTCCAGCCAGCCCCAAACTTCAATTCTTCCAAGGTAAGGAGCTACCTCCCCTTCAACTCCCCCCAACTGCTTATTCCCTGCCATTTTGGCTACAATGCCCCCTGCAAAAAAACCACCTCACTGGACTTAAGATTTTATTGCCAGCTTCTCCATTGATTCTGCTTGTCAAAATCTGGTTGTGAAGCATGCAGATGGTGATCACGTAACTGTGGGATGCTGCTGAAGTTGTAATTTTGAATGGTCATTCATCATTCATAGCTGTACATCCCCCAGCAAAATGAGATAGTAGGCACTCCATTACAAAACATGCTGGTAGCCATAAAACATAAGTCTGAAGCACTGACTGCAGGGCCTAACCACGGCTACAACTGGTCAGTCAGAAAGGAGGCTATACTATGAAGCTTCAGAAGTACTCACTGCACAATAGTCAATGGGATACCAGGCACAGCTCAAGAAAGAAGGCATTGTATTTTCCCTCATTCAGTTAGCATTAGTGTGTGTTGCCAGGTCCAACAGAAAGCATTACAATACTGGATTAGTACCTGGATCATATGTCTCTGACTTGTACATCTTCTGCAGTCACAGGTACTGTACTCAGCAGCTCTCGTAAATTACAAGTAGAGCATGTTCCCATGCTTAAAAACAAAGTAACACATCTCATCCAGTTTGAAATAGTCTTGATACTTTTTTTCTTCAATAACAATTGGTTATCTTTGGCTTCTCAGCTGAGGCCAAAGTGCACCACTCTTTAATTCTCCAAACAGAAAAGAATCCGCAGGAGTTTAGCCTTGAACATGGTCAGAAAGGATGAGACAAATTCTCAGTAGATCCCCCCCCCCTCTTTCACAACAGAAGGAATCAAGTTGGCCTTCTCTTATCAGAATACTAGTTCTGATTCTAACTAGTAAATTGATAGCATCACACTGGAAAATAAGCCCCTAAGAGACTGAATTATGGTATTTGGTCCTATAAAAATATACCCAGGATTAGATGTGGGAGGATGGATATAGATTATTGATTATTAGAATTAGAGCATTTTAGCTGGAATTGACAAAAAGAATGGAACATACTTCTTACATTTGAAAATTATTACTTGAAAACATCTTCCACATTTAGGTAGTCTATCTGAAAGTAGCATTGTTAGTAAAAATGCCATCACTAGTGTTTCAGCCTAAAAGGCAGCAATCCCATGTGAACTCCGTAAGACTCCCAAATGTGTCCTTATCTTAAGATGCATTTCACCAGAGTGACCTACTGCGCTGATCAGGTGTAGGGAAACCAAGGTTCAAGTCCATCTTCAGGCACAGGAACTCACTCTTTCTCAGCCCAGCCCAGCCCACCTTACAGGACTGTTGTGGGAAAAAATACCGGTAGATGAGAACTCTTAAATACCAGAATAAAAAGTAGAATATAAATCAAATCAATAAATCAAATCTAGCTGGCTGAACATTTATTCTCACATAGACATTGAATGTCTAGCCAGCATGTATTTTTGTCCTCATTCTGTTCATGTCTCTATTTCCAATGTCTATGGAAATTCTCAGTCATCCAGGTCATGGTTGTCCCAAAGATGCTTTTTTTCAAGAGGCAACTGGACTTTCTTGGTTTTTTTTTTTTAAAGATGTTTCGCTTCTCATCCAAGAAGCTTCTTCAGCTCCCCAATCAGAGCTGAAGAGGCTTCTTGGATGAGAAGCAAAACTCTTCAAAGGAAAAGCAAGAAAGCCCAGTTGCCTCTTGAGAAAAAAAAAAGCACCTTTGGGTCTCTATTTCAAGTATAGGCAGCAGAGGTGGGTTTCAGCAGGTTCTGACCAGTTTTGGAGAACCGGTAGCACCGGTAGTAAAAATTCTGACAGGCCCCGCCCCCATCTATTCTCTGCCTCCCGAGCCCCAGCTGATTGGTAGGAAATGGGGATTTTGCAATAACCTTCCCCTGGATTGGGGACGGAATGGAGATTTTACAGTATCCCTCCCCTGCCACGCCCACCAAGCCACATCCATAGAACCGGTAGTAAAAAAATTTGAAACCCACCACTGATAGACGGCGACGCAAGAATGCAGCCGCTCAACCCAAATCAACGCGCGTTCTCTCATAAAAAGTTTCTCTGAAAATTATTTCCACGCACGCAGAAGATAAGCGCACGGACAGCGGCAACCTGAGCTCATTTATTGTGAAGTCGCAGAGCGGCGAAAACGATCATTTTCTCCTCAGCAGAGATATTTAGCGCTACATTCCGACCCCCGACCCCTCCCCCCCATTACTTCAGAGCAGACTCTGGGACTCATTCCCGAGTAAGCCTAAATGCAACAGTAAACCGGCTACTTTATTTTCAAACACGCCTAAAGTAAAAGTAGCCGCGGCGTGAGGTACCGAACCGATTGGTAGGTGGCGACTATTTCCAGTCAGAGCAAAACCGGGGTCTGTCATCGAGTGCATAATATGCCGAGCAGCCGGAGAGGTTTCTCTCTGTAAGCGACGGCACCTGCTTTCCCACCTCATTCGGGGAAGGGACCAAAACACGACTAGAATTATTCAGTTCCCGCCGGGCAGTTTAGGCAAACGCCTCAGAAGCTTTCCTGAGGGGGACACACCACACACCCCCTTCGGCCGAGGTGCCCCGGAGGGTTTTTTTTGCGGGCGTCGGGCACGGAGGTAAGGACTCCGACTCCGAAGAAGGAGGAGGCGCTTCGGAGGCCGTCATTTCCGTCGTGTGTGAGTTGGGGAGGGAGCGAGGGAGGGACGGCGGCAAGCGGACAAACCAGCCAAGCGCTCTCGCTGCCGCCTCCTCGCTCCTCAGGCCGCCGGTCAGACCGCCCCCGCCCCCACTTCCAAAGACTCGGAGCGGAGCGGAGAGGAGGAAGAGGAAGGCTGTAGCGGGGGAAAGCCAAGTGCGGAGGGGAGGGGAGGGGAGGGAAGGGGCCGGTCCGCTCCAAGCGAAGCGCCGCTCGACACGCAACTCGGGATTCCCGCCCTTCCCTTTGGACGGACGGCGCAGCCCGACCTCTCTTGCTCGCCCCGGTCCGGCCATGGGGAACGCCGCCACCGCCAAGAAGGGCAACGAGATTGAGAGCGGTGAGTGAGGCCGGAGGGGGGGACGCGAAGGCGAGTTTCTTTCTCCGTGGAAAGCAGGCAGGCAGCTCTTTTTTCTCTCCTCTCTTCTCTCACCCTCCGCCCCGCCGCCGCTTCACCGAGGTGCGCCGGGACGACCAACGGCAGGCCCTGCGGCCTAGCTTGACGGGTTGCGGCAGTGGCAAACCCCTCTCCTTTGCCCCGGGCAGCAGGCCTGGAGGTGGAGGCTGTGCTTCGGGAGAGCGTCTTCGGTCCCCTTTTTCTTGGCCTGCGGGGCCTGCTTTGCGTTAGGAGCCGGGGGTCTCGTAGGTGAGCGGATTAACCCGTGCCTCATAGAGCCACTGGCGGAGAGGGCACGAAGGCAACCCCCCCCCTCCGTGAAGTGGACTGCGCTTCCAGGCTCGCTGTAATCAAGGTGCTCCGGTGAAGGAAGACTGAATTAGAGCCGGTTGGGGGGGGGAGGTTCTCTCGTTCCCCTTCGCTGTTTTTCCCTTTTTTGGTCCCGAAAATCTATAGACTTTCCAGAGAAAGCTTTATGTCATACAAACCTGCCTGACGAAGAAAACGCGCGTAACATAACAATATAAACCGTGCACTGATTTGTCGGCTCCCCTGTGTTTCTTCTCAGGTAACAGCCCCAGATCCTTTTCTCATGATAAAATCCTTTGCTACGGAGAAAAGATTAGTCCCAGTATCTGCAAAGTAAAGAAAGCTTCAAGCACGTTGATCGTGTAGAAAGGTTTAAAGTTTTGTATGTCTCGACAGGGCGGGGGGGGGGATGTTAATTGGTTTCTACTTCAAGGCAGAGTTCTAGTAATAAAACTTGGATCACCCGAAGTTTTAATAAGCGAAGGAAAAGCAGATGCCCCAACGATCCTTTATTAATATTTGGATTAGTCTTTTAACCCATCAGAAGGAAGCAAACAATATTTTTGTCTTGTGCTGTACTAATAATAACCATATTGATTGCTTTTATTTATATACTGTTTTTGTTTTATTTATTTATTTGTATCCCCACCATTATTATTTTTATAAATAATTCAGATGGAGAACATATCCATCACATCTTCGTCCTCCTATTTTCCCCACAACAATAACTCTGATGCGAGTTTTGCTGAGAGAAAGTGACTGGCCCAAGGTCACCCAGCTGGCTTTCATGGCTAAGGTGGGACAAGAACTCAATGCTTTCATGTTTTTAGCTTGGTGTCTTAACAGTAATGCCAGACTGGCTCTTTCATTTTAACTTACTTGGAGTCATTTTTAAATAGCAGTTTATTTTGATTAGCTACATAGTCTGGCAAATAATGTCGGACAGTTTGCTTTATAAACTTATCAATTTAATAAGGTTTTAATTGGAGGAAGCTATGAGTCTTTCAAACAAAATTAAATCTCTGGCTGAATAATAAATATTATGCCACTGTTGGCTTTCTTGTTATTTGAAAAATGAAGAATGAGTGAAATACGTTTAATACCATAATCCACTTTATATTTATAAAATAAAGTCCACTGAATTCAATTAAATTTGCTCACAAATAAGTTTATATAATATCACAGCCTTAGTCCTCCTTAGAGGAACATCTCAAGATTCAGATGTCAATGGTTAAGAACATTGTATTATAATGAATTATTGTGTTCTTATTTAAATAATAATATGGAGAATAGTTTTCTTGGTTTGTGAATACCTGGTGTGATGAATCAGGTGAGCCTGACATTTGAAAAAAAAAAACCCACTCATTTTGGATTTTATACCTGAGGAAAGGATTTCCCTTGCAACTGTTGTTGAAACTTTCCTTTCTTGCCATAGTACTTCTTGTGAGTGGTACATTAATGATGTCCCAAATGAGCTGTGGGTGCAGAGGGCTATTTATGTAGACAATGTCTTAATCTTGTTTCCAATGCTTTACTTTTTCCAGCTTTGTTTTGCTTCTGCTGAATGTAAGCTGTACGTTGAAGGGCTTAAAAGAGACAGATTGCTGGGTTCTTACATTCAGATCCTCTTTCAGTCTTTTACTTCTCAGATGTGTTGTTTTACAGTTCTGTTATCCCTAGTTAGCATTCCAAGAGTTTGAGGTCTGCTTTTGTAAGACAAAACCTGACTTCTAAAGACAGACCTCCTACACCACAGTATGCTTTAGGTACAGAATAGTAAATTTTGGGTATTCATTTCTATCCAATGAGGGATTCTTGTTTTTTTCACTCTGGAATCAATGTATTTGGTGTACAATTTTGTGATTCCCTGCCTTGAAGCATTTTGAACAAATTCTATAATCTCGTCTGAGCGCTTTTCATTTCTCTAAACTGAAACTCTGATTACCAATTTACAGTGCAAAAGTTGGTTTTCCAGGATTTCAAAGTCTGTAAATCGGTCATCTTTTTACACTGTATGCATATAATTAAAAATAGCCAAGTATTTGGCTGTGTCCTACATTTGCTGTTATATGGCAGCATCGATTATGGTGTTCAATAGCTATATGCATTTATAAGCAATTTTGACCATTCCAAAGCCATGATGGCTTTGCCTTTGTTGCATTGTTTTCTGATCCTGTTGGGACTTTGAATGCAAAATAAGGCAGTGCGTTGTTTGAGAAGAAAATTCTAGTGAAGAACTTTTTTAGGATTATATAATAAAAATTGTGGAATAGTAATATATCTTCTTTATGTGATTTATTTTTTGATAGAGGGTGGTTAGATTGACCTAATAAAGCTTTGGCCTAGGATCTGTGATTTCTATTATACAGCATTGCCACCTGTTTTTAAAAAACCTACATGTTTACTAAAGTAGTCCACAATAAGAAATTCTGGCTTAACAAACTTGAAGTGTTGGATGATGACATGACGGTGGGAAGAGGGAATGAGTGCAATAAGGCAACTTCTCCTTTGAATCAAGTTTAGCTCCTGGTGACTTCATGAATGTGCACAATACTCATTGGTTTAATTAACTGTGAAGCCCACAGTAGCATTGAAATAATCTGTCAAGGACCAGTTTTAGATGTTTTTTTAAAGAAATGTGAAAGCGTAGTATCTGCAGGCTGATAATGTTTTGTGCATGCTAATAACATAAAATGATAGTAACTGTAACTAAATATGCTGTATGAAAATGAGATTTTAAAAACTCTAGACTGGCAAGGAACTATTTCTAAATGATTCAGTCAGTTGATTGAAACAGTGCAACTTTTGTTGTTTAAAATATTGAATTTGCGTAATTTATATTTATAATTTATAAATATTAACAAATCTAGAATGTATCAATCAAATAAAATAATATTGTACAAACTTTTGTGATCTAATAACTTTTAGGAAGGCAGAACTCAAAGCTAAAATACCTTTAGTGCTAAGAAATAATGTATACTTTCAAAAAAGTATAAAAACTCTTTAATTTAATGTACCTATCAACCAATAGGGAATTGGGATTCCCTTTAAGATTTTGGTACTTAGAGCATTACATAAAACATTGAAATATTGGTGGTTTCATGATTTAAGGAAATTCGGTTCATGAAAATTAACGCCATTTAATATTATAAATTTTAAAAATGCATTCTTGTGTTGGAATCATAATTCTGATTATGAATTATCCAATTCATAATCAGAATTATGTTCATTATTGAAGTTTTATCAGTAAAACTATAAACTCCACAAGACTGAAAAAAATCTAAGAATGAATGTTGCTGGATAAATGTACACATAGTCCTCGACTTATGACCACAATTGAGTCGAAAATTTCTATTGTTAAGTAAAACATTGTTAAGTGAGTTTATCCCCATTTTCTTATGACATTTGTTAAATGAATCACTGCAGTTGTTAAGTTAGTAACCCGGTTGTTAAGTGAATCTAGTTTCCCTGTTGACTATGCTTGTCAGAAGGTTACAAAAGGTGATCACATCACCTCGGGACATAGCAACAGTCATAAGTATGAACCAGTTGCCAAGCATCTGAATTTTGATCACATGATCATGGGGATGCTGGAAAGATTGTAACAGTCATAAGTCACTTTTTTCAGTGCCATTGTAACTTTGAATGGTCACTAAACGAACTATTGTAAGTGGAGGACTACCTGTATTGCTCTTACCACTGGTAATTTACCTTTACATTGATGAACTGTGAGCTAACTACAGTAATAACAAATGTGCATTATTTGAGGAAATGAAGCAAAAATCGTTATAGATAGATTTCTGAAGCTTAAACCAGATTTCCCTGGTCTGGTGTGTTTCCAGTCTGATTCCTTCGAATTCTGAGTGTTACGCTCCCAATGTTGTTTACTGTTTATAACCTTAATACTTTAATTCTGGGTAAACTAACAGTTGTAAGTTAATGGGTAGCTCTAGAAATTAAAGAAATAAATATAATTTGAATTGCACTTGTTTTGCAATTTGTACTTGGGAAAGTTTTCCTTACTACTCTAACATTTGAAATTTAATTCACAGAATATATTTCATTTTATCTTAATATAATTTTGTACCAATGTCTTTAATTCAGATAATTTGAATAAAGCATTAATATTTATTTCACTGGGCAGTTTGATCAAGAAATAGTTGTATCATGGACTAAGCCATAATACAGATGGTTTATTTTTTCCTAGCATGTTGTATGAAAGCAGTTCTAACGTTTTATAAACCATAATTTAGGCTCACTGTATTATGCAAACTCAAGTGTGTTTTATTCAGAAATCAGAAATAAAAGGTTATGTATGTAGTGAGGGAGGTAAACTAAGTTGTTTTACCACACTTAAACCTTGGGTTGGAAAACAAATCCTTGTTTCTGGCAGCAGGTATTTGTTGTTAGTTTGTTTCATTTACGCTGAAATATACTGAACTACAAGTAAATATCTAAAGCTTAAGGAATAAAAACAATTTACATCTGAACCTTTTGCATCACAGGATATTGCTTCAGATTATCTTTATTATCACAAAATTATGCTACTTATTGTAATATGTATACCTACGGAAACAGAAATGCCTATGTTCCAAAGGCAATTACACACATGCGTTTTAACTGCATGAGCAAAT